ATCTTACGTGAAATATGAGGAAGACAACTGTCTACCCAGGGATAGGACAGAGTGTAACAAGGGGTAATGGTGTGTGAATAAACCTATGAAATCGTTAAACACCAATACTTATTAATTATAAATTAATCAAATGAAGTGACTGTGTGCAATGGAAAAACGCAGAGAAATGGGAATAACTGAAAATATGAAGAAATAGCCTTCAGAATGGAGAAATTTATTAGCAAACATTTCATTGTGCAATGCATAAATACCCAGATTTTAACAAGAGGCAAAGCAAATATAATCAAGAAATAACCACCCCCCCCAAGTGACAGTGCACAAAAGCTCTGCCATAGGCTAACTGTAAACAGCTCATGCTGCACATGTTTACTGATAGAGGAAATGTTCATCTAATGTACACTAAGACCTTTCCTTCCAGGCACTATCTACATTCAAGGTCCTAAACAATTACAAACACTGAAGATAAGGAAGGAGAAAGAACGCACAAAGACAGTCTCAGTGTGAATCCACCTCGCAAGACAGTGTGCAGTCTAGTAAAGAACCAAATAGGAAAAAGAGAAAAACCTCGAGAAGATAGCTCTCAAGACATACACTGAAAACTATCAACAAGCTAGACAGAAACTCAGAAACGGGGAAAGAAACACAACAGAGAAAAAATTAACAAATTAGTATATGTTTATATTTTCCTTCAGGGATTTCTGGAAATCTGTATCTTTGATATGCCCCAAACCAAATATGAAAATAGGATGCTACTCCAAAAGAAAAGGAGTACTCCTAAAATCAAAACATACACTTTCCAAAGAAGTATTAACTTCAAATATAAGGATACAAAGAATGAAGAAACTTTTTAAAAACATTTTTCTATGAAGAGGGTTGGTCATAATTATGGTAGGCAACAGGAAAAGCCTAATCTATAAATACACAAAATAAAGAATATTAACAAATGATAAAATGGTACATTTCTAGAAAGCTATCTGATCAACATGAATGCAGTCCGTAAAACAGTTTCCAAATACATGAAGCAATCAATGACAAAACTGTAGGAAGCCAGACAGTGATACGGGTAAGCTTCAGTGCCCACCACTGAGAAAGACACCCATACTCAGGAAGCACAGAAAAGCAACAATGACTAGCAGGCCTGCAGAAAATCATCCACACAACAACAGAAGATGCCCCGCCTTCTCAAACTTCAATCAGCATGCTACACTGTGGCCCTGTTTTATAAACAGAACAACTCTTTAAACCTAGTAAAAATCAGTGTTTAGAAGTGTCTTTATACTGACATATCAGTATAAAGAAGGGTGAATCCAAAAAAGAAATGTGAATTACTGACTCACTGCATGTTCTCATTCAAAGACGTGAAGAAATGTAAAAGGACGTTTATGTTCTAGAAAGATTCTATGTAATTTGTACCAAGATCTGAAAGGCATTTTTCTTAAAGAGAGAAAATCTTCCTACAATTTATAAAGTTGCCTGAAACCACAATAACTTCAAAAGTTATGAGAAAAAAAAAATCAAACCCAGAGGCAACTTCAAAATACATAAAAATTGTAGCAACGCAAGCTGTGGAGTGTTGAAGACACAGGACAAGGGATGTCAAAGGGAAGACAATGCAGACGGGGTTTAACACCTGGCAGAGACACTAAGCAAATATCATCAAAATCCTGTTGGCATTATTTTAGGAAGTAGCGAAATGAACCCTAAAAGAAACAGAACCTGAAGGAACTACAAGATGCTCCAAAACCTGTGAACAGGACAAACCAAGAGGCTTCAATGGTTCTAACTAAACACCATGTTGAAATTGTGAAACCACTTAACATTGGTATAAGACCACAACCAGCCAGGTAGATAGAAGAGGGGGAGCATCACTCCCAGGCAAAGTCAAAGAAAATTATATTTGCCTCTGAGTATTAATACTTAACATACAGAGACTTCACCCACCAAAAAGAGGATGATGGTGAGATTAATCTCAAGAATCATCGGGAATGAAATAGGATGTGGCAAAAACAATGTCATGTCCTGTCTCTGCTGTCACTTGAGCCGTCCCCTTCCCCTGCACCACTTCCTCAATCCCGCTAGCATACCTGGGTCCTCTGCTATCGCTGCCTCACAGGTGAGCAGGACTTACTGAGCAGCGTCAGGCTTGGACATGGAAAAGAGATTCTTCAGAAAGCACCTGGAACTTCTCAAGGAACAAGAATGAAAGATGCAATCACCTGTGAAAAGGAAAAAACGTGAAGGGAAGAGAACAGATCAAGAAAAGTGTCTCTGTGATACGTGAGACTCATTCACACACAGCTCACAGATGTGCAGAGAAATCTTTCCAGGAATTCTGAGGCGGAGCAAGGGAGACGTCAAGAAAACTGTCCTCACCCTCACAATCCAGCCTGCTGCAGGACTACAACAGATCTCTGCAATAAGCCCTGAGAGCAGGGTATATGCATTCCTACTCCTCCTATAAGAAGTCCACAGTCACAGCACTGAATAAATTTCAACAAACCCTGAAATAAAAAACAACAGTTTGCAGCCAATTACGCATGGGTAGGGTGCTTTTCTTCTACGAAAGAGACATTTTTCTGATACAGTGGAGTGACTATAAATACTCAAAAGACGCTTTACGACTCATTTTCATCTATTGTGACTTTCCTAACTTTAAAATAGTCTGGTGTGATATAGTCTCACAGCATTCATGTTGGGCTTGCCTGGACCTACCGTGTAACCGAAGAACACAGCATGTGAAGACGTGTTTCTGAATGCTGTATTTACACCCTAGACTGCATGCGTCTCAGATGTAAAATTAATGGAGAGTAAAGGATTTTCTTAATGTTTACAGCCATATGTGTGGCACTCCATAAAGTATATTTTCTGTTTACTCATACCTATACTGGTTCCTCAAGTAATTATTATCTACAAAGCTCTCTGGGAATGCCTAGTCTCAAGGATTAAGGACACTGTCTTCAATAGGCAAGCAGTAAAACAGGGATTTCAGAAAGCGTGGATGAATTTAAATTGCAGGAGCTCTGGAATTGCCACAGTAGCAGAGATAATCCTCTCTGGAAACAGCAGACAATGCAAATGCTCTACTAGATTATTTTTTTAAAGATTTATTTATTTATTATGCATACAACATTCTGCTTCCATGTATATCTGCACACCAGAAGAGGGCACCAGATCTCATAAGGGATGGTTGTGAGCCACCATGTGGTTGCTGGGAATTGAACTCAGGACCTCTGGGAGAGCAGTTGGTGCTCTTAACCTCTGAGCCATCTCTCCAGCCCTGTACTAGATTATTTTATGAAGAAATAGCCTGACAGTCATAGGATAAATGGGAAAAAAAGAAAAGCAACACACAGTAATGCCCCCTTCATGGCATCTGAAACCCACCATCAATGGAAAGACGCCAACAACACAACACTGAGAGCTGTGTCTGAGGATAAAGCGGTGGAAACTGGGCAGCTCTGGCTGCGCCCCTGGCCGCTAAGAGAACTCGCCATGGGCAACAGGTCTAGGGGGAGAGGTCCCTGGGGAGGAGGGCGAGCAAAAGAGCAAAGGGCGTCTCGGATGGGGACGGGAGAGACGGAGACCCCAGACAGAGAGCGGTCAGAGAGCAAACCAGGAGCCAGAGAGACCGGGACAGACGGACACTTTTAAGGGGTGCGCCCGGCGCCCGGGGCAGCACCCAGCTCGTGGGGTGGAAACGAGCGCACCTGGCCGCAGGGGACGAGCTGAGCCGCCGCCTCCTCCACCCCACGGGCAGCCGGCGGGAGCTGACGGGGTCCTTGTGAGCAGCTCGGGAGCACAGCCCGCTCCTCCCTCCCTCCCGGGTCCCAGCCCCGCAGCTCCTCTGACCTGGGAGCTTCCAGGGCCGCCGGGCTGCGGTTCCCGCCACTGCGCTGCTGACTGCTGACTTTCCCAGGCCGCCCCGCGAGCGCGGACACCGCGGATCCCGAGGGCTCAGGTCCCCGCGGACCCGCCGCGTCCTCCGCACCCGGGTCTGCAGCGCGCGGCTCCCACCGTGCAGGACCCCGAGCAACGACAGGGAACCGGGCACTCGGCACTGCGGGCTGCGGCTCCTGAGATCACTGTGTTTTTGTTACTGTTGTTGTTTTCCCTTCAACTCTGATGCACAGATGCTTCCGATCTGCATATCCGGTTTAGCATCTCCTCCCCCACTCACCGCCCCTCCCCTGCATCTCCCGCCGCCTTGCACACAGCTCAGGCCGCCCTGGACCCGCTCTGCGCAGGCTCCGCACACGCTTGCTGCAGCCTAGACCAGAGCTGCAGCCAGGAGGACGCTGCACCCCGGTGTCTGACCCCACAGAGAGTGCTGAGACCTTCAGAGAAAAGACAGGCGGCCC